TGTCCGTGTCCGTGTCCGTGTCCGTGTCCGTGTCCGTGTCCGTGTCTATGTCTGTTTACATTCATCAGTAGCATCTGACCACGCTACAGTTGAGATTCATTTCTGAGTCTTTGTACAGTCACTCACGAAAGCTTATCAAAGACAAGAGAAAGAAGTAACGAGTCAGTACCTGGTTCAGCAAAGTAAGGTCTTAAGGAACAGTTCTCAGTCGTGACAGTGACGTTATCGATTGCTACATTCATCTCGTCATCAAGAAAACCTTCTCCCTCAAAGATTATCTACAAAATACGAAAAAGAAAAAAAATGTGTCTCATAGAAAACTAGACGGTGATTGTCAACCATACAAGGTCTTAGTGACATTCATTTCAAAAGCTATTCACACCCAAGGTCTTAAATGACACGTGAAAGCGAAATTGTTCACGAACCTTAATTCCTACAGCGCCTGGCCAAGCCACTTGAGCATCTGACCATTCTTTACCGTGGTACCCAACCATCTGCCACACTAGTACCGATATTTCTCGTTTCGTGTCTCTGAGGAAAACCTTTAAATTTGATTTTGATTTAGTGGGCATGAGGTAACTAAACCGCAAACACACGCCCACAGATTGATGGAATGGTTTCCATGGCAACAAAGGGCTTTCCAAACGTGCTTTGTACGACTTATCAACATAAGCAAAACTACCTGAAAGAAGAGACATTGTTTCGATTAGTCACATACTTTTAGAGGTAAAAACGTATATATTTTTGTTCTTAAGGCTCAGTCAAACGCACGCAACACATTGCAACATTGTTGCATACGTTCGGCAATCTTGTTGCAATATGTTGGAACGTTTGTATGGTCCAGAGTGGCCAAATGTGTGCAAACATAACCTCCTTTGAAGGTACTCCACCAGTGGGTCAGTCGCTTTCCATGTGAGATGATTGATTGTATTATATCTTGTCATTCATAACGCTCAAGATATAGCCTAGGGTAGCCAAGTCTTAAACAGAACAAAAAGTCAACTTCATTGTCCCTTACACTCTAGATCATCAACAGAGTTTACGGCTCATTTTTTAGTGTAAAGAAAGTTATTAATCCAATTTACAAGAAAAAGGTTTGTTACAGAAGAACACAATTTTTTTCAACTTGAAGGTCAAAGCAACAACAGGAGAATGAACGTTCCACACAAACACAAGTGCAACAATATATTTATAGATTCAATTGTTCAACTTGCCTGGATATTGAATGAAGGCGCTGTTTAGCGATAACTTCCATTTGTCTTTCTCAACAACGCTGGTCCAACCGCAATATCCAAGGTCAAAAGAACATTCTTCAAGTGTTGCAGCTGACAACGAAATAAACCGGGTGCATCATGTAAGACCAGGGAGTTTCTTCCCTATATGTCAAACTCTGGAGGGAAACCGTTTTTAAGAAAGAGCAGAACCAGACAGATACAATACAATCACAATACAATACAATCCTTTATTTATCCACGTAACATTTAGGAGTAATAAAAACTCGTTAAAACATGTGCGTGCTAAAAAATGGAAACAATAAAATATTTATTAAACTTAACTAATATAGATTGTCGTTAACTGTCCAGGAATTTACTTTCCCAACGCCGTCAATAGAAATCGTTTACCTTGAATGTGAATATGTCCTAGCACTCTCTCGCCAATAATTTGCTGTGAATTGTTGACAGATGAAAAACTGACCTGTTAAAGAAAGTTAAATCCGAAACAAATGAACACAGTGCGTATTCAGTCTCCTATGTTGCGCTCACTTATAATTAATTATTCATCCTATTACAGTATTTACTCTCTTTCTGTAAACATCATGCAAATAAAATGCAAACAAAGCAGGGACGAAGAATAAAAGCAACTAAACCTGTAACTCTTGATCATGACTTTTGTATTCTAATAACATCACCAAAGTTGTTCATCACCTTTTTCATACTATTTTTCCACAAATCGTCCTGGGTTTCGTAAGCTATCTCAAGATGATCAAGTCGGAAATTCTCATGACCAAGTTTATTTTCTACACAACAACAGGTAATAACAGACCTTTATTGCAGAATATCCAGGTTGTCGGTCCGTGTTAAAGGTAGTTGTGAATGATGTGTTTACACAAGAAAAGTTAAGCGCCGAATTCAACGTTACATTTTCTCCAAGGGTTGAGATGTTCAGTTCCAACGGGCAATTCGGGCAATATACACCTTCACAGCAGAACTGGTAAAAACCTGTTGTGCAAAATAAAACGATACGACACGACATGGGTTTTATATCTCTATAATAATGTCTGACGAATATTTTGAAATTTTGAATTGAACTAGAACGTGCAAAAAATCGAAAAGTTCAAAATGAAGGTCACTGGCAAATACAAGTGTTAAAGAGTGAAATTCTTGTTATCAGTAAAAGAGTGGTATTGCGCTCTCCAGCACGAGTATTATTATCTGAGGAATCTTAGGTACAATTCTACAATTAGAACAATTAAAAAAAATTATTTAGAATATTCGGCCTTGGGCCTCGTCAACTAACACCTCATAGAAATTGACAGCGAATAACCTAACTGTTAATTATTTTTTTCACTTCAATATCTACAGAAGTCTTACTACCTTTGATGTTAAAGACGCAACATATCGTTAAAATTTCTTCCATCGTTTTATCAATTTATGTTTGACTGGTCTGGTTTGCTCTAGGGAACTAACCTGAAATACGAAACTTTGATCCAACGACAGCAGACAAAAGCGTTTCATTATCCTGCAGTGTCACCTTTAATCTGCGTGTTCCTGTTGAAAATTCAAGTCCAAAAGAGAGTTATCGAAAAAATGACATAGTTGGGTATGCAATCGTACAGAAAACCCTCTTGAACATTGCTTAAAAGATCTTATATAAGTTAAAAAGTGGCAAGATATTGTATCGAGAAGACCTTTTTCCATGTGTGCAATTCCTCAACGAAAACTAAACTTGCTAAGTGGATTGGTTTCTTGAAACGGATTTTCTTCAAAAAAGTATATCACTAAAGTCATGACAGCCAAGATTTTCCTTTTTCTTAATAATGGTAAATGCATTGTACATTTTAAAATAAGAACCCACAGCAATGTTACCTGGTTGAGTCCGAAAGAGTCTTGTTCCAGGAATAGGGCGTTCATACTCTCCATTTGGTTTGCGCATGCCCACAGCTGCGTGGTCTCTTCCCCAACGCTCATACATAAAAACCTCCATTTTATAAATACGACATTCGTCAAGAAAAATTGGTTGCGACACTTGTTGTGGGTGCCTTTAAAACAAGAGAGAAAAAAGGGTAAGAAAGAGTAAAAAGAAACAATTAACATCCCGGATAACGTAAAAAAAAAATATTCAAGTTAAAAGAAAAAACTCTCAAGGTCACATTCGTGTGGTGCTCACTTGTTCCACTGAAGATGCCCGGTCCATGATTTAAAAGCAATGATTAGCTGCTTGGTTAAGCTCTCCTCAGCTTTCGTGTTCCGGCTTTCTGTGCCATACTCATCTACATCGTACTTCCACAACTCACACCAATCATCGCACGACACGTAAAATGTGTAATTGCCACTATCAGGGACCTGTAAAATTATATACACTTCATAATTTCAATAACAAGAGGAACATTGTGTATTGACTGCTACTTTCCCACGCTAAATTCTAGTTGTAGAACGACTCCGTAGAAGTCATTTTTAAGAATCTTCTTCGAGAAAGAACGAAAGTTCTATGGCAAACGGTGCTAAAATACTATATAATCTCTTTCCAAATCACTTCCGTTGCTCGTATAGTATCAGTTGCCATCTTAACCCCAGCAATAATATCAGTTTGTAAAAGGTTAAAGCATATCCAATAATAATTACCCGAGACAAATACAAAGAAATTACGCACTTCTCATTTATTACACTTCAATGGGAAATCGAAGTTTACCTGTAGGTAGCTTGTTAATCGTTGAACGTAATTATTTCCTACGTCGACTGGTGCATCAAAATCGCGCAACTTCATCTGGCTTTGAGGTGGAGTCTTGAAAACGGGATGTTGGCGTATGGTTGCCACTCTGTTCAGGTCCATATTAACTTTATACCACACTTCACGCAAAACTCCGCGAGCCTGTCCAATAAACTCTACCACAGACAAAATGTGAAACAACTCTTGAGGTGTCTTGTAAAAAACACACTATAGTGCAGGTACAAAACTTTACCGATAAACATACATAGAAATTACTTTTTAGCATGACTAGACTAACATGTATGACATACAGTGTATATGTCACAAGTGTGACATCTATTAGTCTCGTTTTTTTTTTTTTTTTTTTTTATGCGTGACATACATGTCTCATACGGGTAACCTTCACAGGTCACATGAATGACATATATATGTCACATGCGTGACATCAGAGAGTCATATGCATGGATGACATCCTAACAATTACAACGTACACGTGAATCAATGGACATGAACGTTGCTCCTAAATTCTTAGTTTAAATTTCTATAAGAAATTTGTCTCCTCCGATATACATGGTCGCGTAAAATCACATTTTAAAGCCCCCCCCGGATAAGTGCGTTCCTTTTGTGTTTCTCTACAAACATCCAAATTTTTAATCGAAAGTTATAGGCGTAAACAAGTGGCTGTGGAGTTTAGAACAATAATTATAACGATACCAAAGGAAGAAACAAATCTTCATGCATACATATCAACGCGATGAGGTTTGTTCCACAGTTCATTTACAACACAACTGTTCAACGACAATGTTTTGGAGTACGGTAACATAGCAAACAGCTAGCTACAATCCGGCAGTTTTCTATCACGCAAATTTTTGTAGCCTCCTACAATGAACTCTGAGCCTTCCATATTCCTTTCCTCACTTGCGCTTTGTGCTTCTTGCTCCCGTAACTTTAATACACACATGGTAATTCAATTCCACCTCCACAGTAACCCAAGTGCCCTCCGGTGTCTTCCTTGCTTCCCCAGTAATTTCACCCATCATGCTTGTCAGTATCCCGTCTTTTAAGAATGGACAAAGAACTTGCGCTAACGCATAGGGCGAGTGACGAGTCAGACGTTGACAAAGATGATGATGACGACGAATTTGAAACTGCAGTTGACTGTTTAAAACTGCAGCTGAACTTTGTTAATGATTGTGCTACTGCGGCCTTAGTAACCACTTAAATTGGAGCTATGCAAACTATAGAATTGTTCTGAACATTGAAATACAAATACCGTATGAACTTTGTTAATTCTACCTAAAGGACCGTTTCACGGCAAACAGGCAAATTGATAACCTTAAGGCTTGTAGATTTTAGACTCCCTTTCCAGTTGGTTCAGTCACATTAGTGTTTTATAGATGTTTTTGAAATAAAATCTCCGTTTATTGTGAGGACCAATAAATGTGTTATAAATGTAATAGCTCCAAATGTAATGGTATGTTAGCTTTAATTCGTTTCTCAGATACGTTTTATCTCGTCGTTCCGAAACATTGTTTTTTACTTAGTTTATATGCCCCCCGATATAAGCCCNCCTCCCCCCGCTTATAAGCCCACCCAAAACCCCATATGAAGTTATATAAGCGCAGGGCTTTAAAGTGGGATTTTACGGTATACGAAATACGTTATGTAACGAAGAAAGGCATCAGGTAGCAGGCAAGGCAGGTCTTCACGCTTCAGGTCTTGTAATTTAGGGGAGAAAGAGGAAAGGAAAAACGGAGGACTGCAGAGGGCTTTATTCCTCGTTGTCAAGATTTTTTCTTGACTTATTCTGAAAACTTTTCAGCAGTCAAGAATTGACTAGCCAGACTAATAATTTTCAAAGAGTATTCATAGTTTATACACTGTATTGACCGGAAAGACTGCTTGTAAAGAAACAGTTAGGAGGTAGCCACGTGTAACTCACCAAACGTTTTCACGACAACTTGGCACAGAACTAGCGTGACATCATCCCCAATCAGCGTCACTGTCACGGAACTGCCGCGCGCCGCTGGAGAACAGAGAAATTTGTAGTCCTGAGTTTTCCCACCATATTCCATGGATTCTGTACACGTTGGATCTAAACCGGTTGGACTGGTACTGGATACAGTGATTTTGATCATGCCAATGTCACGTGAACAGCAATCGATTTTATCGGTGATCTCAACAGATTCAACATACAGTGTTTTTTCAAGGGTTACTTGCCACCAAGGGTTCGACTCCTAAATGAAAGAAAAAACAAACAAACAAACAAACAGACAACAACAACAACAAAAAAAACGTTAAACATTGAAAGTGAAAAGAACTTAACAAGCAACTTAGACCACGCTTCAAGGTGGGGAACATTGGTCCCTGCTCCACCCACGGTGGAGCATAGGTGGAGTATACACAAAGAAGCAAAGATGATGGCAGTTAGATTTTAGCATAGGATGGACTAGGAAAGGCCTGCTCTTTTGGGAGGACAATACGTCGCATGATACAATGGTACCATCCTTGAGATATCCGGACCTATTCCCTACCAACAGGCCTTTATTAACTAGACAACTTCAATTACCTAATAGAAAGAAATAAGAAAAACAACTGTGATGCAAATAAAAACATTACATTAGTGTCAGGTGATCTACATTCTGACGAAGGGTAGTTGAAGAAGTGAGCAAGGAAAAAGCTACCAGTTGAGAGATGGAGGACAGGAAGCAACAAAGGGAGGGTCAATCTGAAACAAAGGGATTTTACTAAGTGGGGATTGGCCGAGAGTAGAGCTGGGGCAGAGCATGCCATAATAGCGGAGCTCCGGCGGCCGAAGGGCCGCCAAGCGGAGCCCCATACTCATATAGGAAAAAAAAGGAAACCCGTAAATCGATTTTTTCATGGTTATCATGGCTAGCGGCATTGCTCGTGGGCTCGTACGCACGACAACGGAGTCACACAAGATGGAGGCCATACTCCAGCGAACAGGTTGAAAGAGTTTATAGCGTCCTACTTTAATATTGGACATCCATGTTATGGTCAATTGACCCCTGTCAAAACAAAGTATCCGCTGACCAGTATTACGTAACCATATCGCAGGCTCAAAAATTCATCGAGGTCACTTGTTTTTGGAAGTTGACCGCGGAGTCAGGTTAAGTTAATTTGTTGTAATTAGGGCCAGACTGTTCGAAAGCTGCTTAATTCTAACCCCGAATTAAAAGTTAACTCAAGTACAAATTTTTCTTGTTTTGGAGTGGAATGTCGTTCGTAGTGGTGTACCCCAGGGGTCAATATTAGGACCGCTTCTTTTTAATATTTTTATGAATGATTTGGCCTATGCTANTCACTGATACATGGGCAGAAGAAAACAAAACAGAAAACCGTTTACAGAAAGCAACGTTATAATCATTTGTGCTTACTTATCTGCTACCCTTTGAATCCTTTAATTTTGTGATCTTTTATGCGATATCTATTTTAAAGAGGTTTCTGTGTTAATTATTAAATTAATAATTAACGTAGAACTGTATTTGAAAAGTGGACGGGATCGGGATTTTCAGGTAAAAAAGGGCGGGATGGCGGGATCAACAGGAAAGAATTGGGGGGAAAGCGGGATTTGACATCCCTATTGTGGACCCTCTATTAAGCTTTGCAGACGACACCAATTTACATGCTTCAAACGAATGTCCCCGCGCAGTAGAAAACATGATTAACCAAGATCTGTTCAATGCCACCTCTTGGTTTAAACAAAACGGAATGATCGCCAACCCGACAAAATATAACGCCATGGTGTTAGGAAATGCTAATCAGTGTGGCATTAGCATCGAATGTGCGGGCAAAGAGATTCCAGTATCCAACGAGATAAAACTACTGGGCATAACTTTACACGAAAAACTAAAATTTGATTCACACATTGCGGACATTTGTCGCAAGGTGGGGAGCCAAATAAATGCTCTAAGCAGGTTAAAGAACATTCTACCTTGCANATTCTGCAGTGTCACCATCAAGCTGCGTGTTCCTGTCGAAGAATTGTAGTAAAAAAGAGAATTATCGAAAAAACAATAAATAAATAAAAACAAAAAAGAAAAACATAGTTGGGTGTGCAATCGTACAGAACGCTTTCCTGGACATTGCTAGCCGTGCGGTTGCAGGTTGTCGTTTGTCTTAAGTTATTTTCGGCGCAGACAAGCGACAGCGGGAAACACGTCTGCGTTCACAGGCTAGAACTTTGCCTGCTGATGATTTATTTTTTTTTTCCTCAAAAGGCAAGATACTGTATCGAGAAAAACTTTTCCAATTTATACATCTCTATATCGAAAACTCAGTTGCCTCCTCTATCCTTTTCTTGCTTCAGATTATCTTCAAAAAGAATACTAACAATTAAAATTCATGACAGCCAAGGGTTTTCTTATCTAGCTCTTCACAATGACAGATGCGATGCTCTGTTGTAAAATAGACCACACGGCAAAGTCACCTGGTTTAGTCCAAAACAGTCTTGATCCAGGAATAGGCCGCTCATACTCTCCACTTGGTTTGCGCATACCCACAGATGCGTGGTCTCGGGCCCCATCTTCGTGCATAAAAACTTCCATTTGATAAATGCGACATTTGTCGAGAAAAATTGGTTCCGACATTTGGTCGTCTGGATACCTTCAAAAATTGGAGAAAAAAATTAATATGAGGATTAGAAACCCCGAAAGAGTAAGAGGTAGCAATAAACATGAAGGATAACTGACGTGGTAAAAAAAGTCGAGTGAAAAAAAAAACAAAAAAACAAAAAAAAAAACATCACCAACAACAACAAAATTCTTTTCAAGGTCACGTCGGTGTGTCGCTCACTTGTTCCACTCGAGATATCCAGTCGCTTGATAAACTGTACTGATTGGTTGCTTGGTTAAGCTCTCCTCAGCCTTCTTGTTCGGCTTTTCAATGCCATGCTCATCTACATCGTACTTCCACAACTCACACCGATCATCGCATGACACGAAAAATGTGTAATTGCCACTATCAGGGACCTATAAAATTATACACGCTTCACAATTATTAAAAAAGGAAGAAAACATGTGAATTTATTGTTGAAAGTGCACAACCAAATTGTAGTTGCAGAGGCACTCCGTAGACGCCATTTTCACAACTCTTCTTTGGGGAAGAACGAGCCATTTTTAAGGCAAACCGTACTAAAATGTTATACTTTCTTTACCAATTACTTCAGTTGCTAGTATAGTAGCAGTAGCCATCTTAACTACCAATTAAAAGATTAAGGCATACCCAGCAATCCGAGTGATATACAAAGACAACACTTCTTATTAACTTCACCTCTACGAACATGTTTTCACGGTTTATCACAAACGGGGTAAAATTACTAAATGCTGATTGGCTGAGACAGAGGGCATTTTTTTTCTTAATCACGAGGGCACTTTTGGTAATCAAGAGGGCATGATTACTTGATGATTGCCTGAAACGGATTTTGAAAAAAGGAATTTCAGAAACGCATCTCTATTTAGTTTGACCTAAACGCGGTTATTTCATCTTAACGTGAGAGGAAATTGACATGCAGCAAAGCGTCGTCTTTTGGTGGAAAAGCAAAAGGATTTTTCCATCCAAAAATGTATAAGTTAAGTTTTCCCAGTGGAAAGGAGAGTTTTGGATTCAGTTAAAGAAGTTATTATAGCTCGTATGGACACTTGTTTACGTCTTTCATCGATCGATGAAGCGATTAGTATATGGAATCGCATTGGCCCGAAGGCAATAAAGGATTAATTTCACGTGTATTTTCAAAGTTTTCACAAAATCGCCCGAAATCGCGAGGCGACGAGGGCAATTTAGAAAACTTTGAAAGTACGAGTGAAATTAATCCTGAATTGCCCGAGGGCACTTGCGATTACTTGTTGATCACATAAAGGGCAAAATTCTGTACAAAGGGAAACTTTCAAGGTCTCGCCGTCGCGTAAACAGGTTTGCCGGTTGTCACAAAAGAACAGGCTAGCAGAAGAACGGAGAAAGCTTACTATAATAGTAAACAAAACACAGCAAGTTCGAGTCACTGAAAGCAATTTCTTTACAAAGAAAACTTTAAGCAATCTAATTTTATTCACTTGTTTTGCGAAGCTTGCAATGGCGTGAAACTACTTCATCGATCGATGAAAGACGTAAACAAGTGTCCAAACGAACTCTAATAACTTCTTGAATCCAAACTCTCCTTTCCACCGCGAAAACTTAACGTACCAACAAAATTTACGCCGTTTCGTTTGACGCCGATAAGGTGACCTGTCATACTAATAAGGCGACCCGAAGTAGAACGAAGAAATTTACAATGTCGATTTTCTTTCACGTTAAGATGAAATAACCGCGATTACATCAAACTCAGAGGCAATGCGTTTCTGAAATTCCGTTTGAAGCGGGAAACCGACTTAACGCAGGCGTGCTCAGCCAATCAGCATCAAGTAATCATACCTTCTTGATCACCAAAAGTACCCTCGTGATTAAGAAAAAATGCCCTCTGTCTAAGCCTATCAGCATTGAACAATTTTGCCCCGGGTGTGATAACATTTAACAAATTGACGTCAGTTTTTTATGCGTTTGTCCTCTTATTGATGATAAATTGCGTCATAACATTGTCAAAGTGGCTGTCGAACCACAAGCCGCAGGCGAGTGGTTCCGCAATAAACTTTGACAATTTTATGACGAAATTTGTCATCAATAACAGGACAGACGCATAAAAACTGACGTCAATTTGTTTTTTACAATAACAAGACCCCAAAATGGTTAAATGCCGGGAATAAATGAAGGGAAAAGACGCCGTAAACTTGCCGTAAACAGAGATAACTGAATTTTATTCAAAATAACACGAATGTTAATAGCTTTTCTCGCTTTTTGATTGGCTACTCAAAAAAGCCCATAAAATCTCATTGACAGTTTGACAGCTAGAAGTTGAACTTAAAAGCTTGCATAAATTAAAATTTTATCTGTCTGTGCTCTTATCGATGATAAAAATGAGCCAATCAGCGCGAGAGAAATTACACAGTTATTGTAAAGATACAAATGAGGGTTTACCTGTAGGTAACTTGTTAATCGTTGAACGTATCTTTCGGCTACGTCTACCGGTGCATCGAAATCCTGCAAAATGATCTGGCCCTCAGTTGGAGTCTTGAAAACGGAATGTTCGCGCATAGTAGCTCTGTTCGGCTCAAAATCATTGAGTTTATACCACGCTTCACGCAACACGCCGCGAGCCTGTCCAGAAAACTCTACAACAGACAAAATGTAAAACATCTTTTGGGTAAGGACTACTTTTTAATCATTTGATAAAGCTTGTGAAATAACATCAGGCAGACTTGAAAGTAGGCTTTGTCGCCTCAAAGGTCGGTGAGTAATAAGAAAAAGGAAACGGGGGATCGTGAAGGACTTCATGGCTCGCCACCGCTCCTTCACCCCCCTAGCCAGCCTAAGAATTATCAAAGGGTATTCATAGTGTCTACGCAGTTTTAATTGGAGGGATTGCTGGCAGTGTATATCAATTACGAGCGAGGTAGCTCGTGTGACTTACCAATTGTTTTCACGACAACTTGGCAGAGAACTAGCGTGACATTATCCCCAGTAAGCGTCACTGTAACGTAGCGGCCGCGCGCTGGAGGAGAACAGACAAATTTATAGTCCTGCGTATTCCCGCCATATTCCATCGATTCTGCACACGTTGGATCTAAACCGGCTGGACTGGTAGATACAGTGACGTTGATCATGCCATTGTCACGTGGACAACAATCGATGTTATCGGTGATTTCAACAGATTCAACATAGAGCGTTTTTTCAAGGGTGACTTGCCACCAAGGGTTCCACTCCTTGATGAGAAAAAAAAACAAAAACAAAAAACAAAAAAAAGACGTTAAATGTTACAAGTGTTAATAACTCAATAAACAACTATTAAGAAAACAAATGAAATTAGAGTCAATGCTCACAGACCAAACGAAAGATTTGATTGACTTTCTGGAGCAGCATATAGACCCTTTTCATGCATGGCTTGCAATTTTAATTGAAAAGATTAAAATAATCACGACTTACCTCGTTTTTGAGTTGATTTTAAAACAATCGTTACTAATTTAGATTCATACAAAATCATTTTTAATTGACAACCATATGTAACAAAGGTGTATTGATCAATGAACCTTTTCATGTAAATATCGATACATGGCAAACGGAAGGACAGACCGTACCACCCTTATAAATCTTCGCTGGAATAAGAGAAATTACGTATATTTATTGCCACAGAGAAACTGCACAGTAACAAAGGGGAAGAAAACCATAACGTGTGGAAAGAAACGTTGACACGCCTCCACCATCATCCCATGCAATAATCCAACCATTTGTGTTCATATCTGACACGCGAATGTTATGTTTGAGGCGACTGTCATGAGAAAGTAAGGGTTCCAGCCCTCCTCCTCCTCCTTCTCCTCCCCTCCTTGTTTTCGTTTCGTTTCAGGGGTATGTTAACACTTTTACTATTTCTTACCTTCTTTGAACGAAAGCAAGTCGTGTAAGATCTATCAATGGCCAGGAAGGGATCAAAAGGTGACTGAACACTTGAACTTTGTGTTGAACTATCCTGTGATAATGAACTTACTGCATGAAAGAAAGTGAAACAAAAATAAATATAATCTAACAAATCAATCATAGATTGAGGCATAACCATGTAACTGGTCAGGCAACTGTACTACTTACTAGTAATAGTCTGCAGTGTTGGTCTGGTGTTATCTGTTTGTTTGTTTGTTTGTTTGTGTGTTTCATCTGTTTGTTTGTTTCACCTGTTTGCTTGTTCCATATGTTTGTTTGTTTGTTTGTTTGCTTTACCCAGTTTTTGGTTATCAGAGGATTAGAGACAGCCGTAGCGAATAGCACCCCCACCGAAACCTCACTCGCCTAAGTAAGCACTGTAAGTAAGTCATGATAAATACTACTCTCTCTACTCCATATCGTTATTGTTGTAAGTCATTGTAGTCTATTATTAACAGTTGTCACGAACCTTAATTATTTCCCGATTATGAAACCAAGTGAAAAATGTCACAAGATTAGAAAAAGAAATCGACAGGTCATTTCTGGGTTATCGTTAAAGCTTGGTGCCTTTCTTACTAGGGACAACATAATGTTCTACTTTTAAATGAACATACGATCGAGTTAAACGCTCTATAGTATGAGTTGGAGATAAATTGCCTTAGTTGAAAATGGCTTATTGATTTACAAAGATAGACCATGCAACTTACCAGGTGGCTTCTGGCACAAAGGTTTCAACATTAATCTACAGTCAACGTTTTTCAGCTTCGATGATCCAAACGACAGAACAGCACAGCTATGGGTTGGATCGTTGTGGGTAGGATATCCCTGCATCCACAGAGAGTCATTGAACAGGCTGCCATCTATCCACACCCAAAAATTCCGAGACATCAGACCAAAGTGAAAAGTGCTAGGTCTTGGTGTCATTCCTTCTAACATGTTAGAGAATGCATATCTCAAACCTTCTCGAGGTATCTTGGCCAAGGTCCCTCCTTCACTCTTACACTGTGCCAAAGCTTGCTGCCAGTTTAGTGAATTTTTGTTATTTACGAGGAAGCAACCGCCATGGAAAGGGAAAAAGTTGGGACTGCACGCCAAAGGCGCTGCGTAAAACAAGTAGAAACAAGCAGAAATGTGACAAGAGTACATATTTATCAGCATAACAGATAATTATCGTCTTGATTAATAACAACAGAACTTCGCAACTAGTATTTAACAAAACTGAATGGTGTTCAGTGAGAGTAATTTTCACTTCTCTACTTCACAGTCCTTCTAATCATTTTGGTGGTATGTTTTCTGCTCAGGGTTTTCCGTCCAATTTTGAATGAAAGTGCAATTGAGAGATTATGTCTACCCTCCATTGAAGTCCTCTATTAATAAATCACCGTTGAATTACAAAAGAATATTAGAGGGATTGACTGAACAATTTATAAAACAGTCGTGGCTGTCATCAATATAGTTGTTCAATGTACTTACTGCTCTGATTACACCTTGCTTTAGCTTCAATGATTTGGTCCACCAAAAGCGCCTGATCATAGAATTGCAAGCACGAGAGTCTGCCGCGAAAATGCTTTTCTTGGTTGCTCGAGGCTCCAACTCTAACATCAGACTGAGTTGCCAGTTCCATCTTTGTTCCGATGGATTTAAGCATGACAGTGTCGTTGTTGACCCACACAGTTGCAATACCCGTGTGGTAGTCGTATGTGGTTCCAATGAAATTCCATTTGTTTTCTACGAGGACGTTCTCCTTATGAAGCCGATAAACTTTGGAGGTTTTCCTGTCCACAAATTGCACTTCAACTCCCAGGGTAGCCTTAAAAACCCACATCGAACAACCATACTTGAAGATCGGGCCATCGCTGTTGTTAAGATGGACCCATGCGAACACACTCATCGAAAACCTAGCATCTAGTTCTCCGGTATTTTTCAGTTCCACGTAGCTGCTATTAATGCCGCTAAAGAAGAAAGAACCATCTGGATTTCCATAAGGGCCTTGTGCGAATTTGATGTGACCAGACACTGCCATAGTGGTTCCATTTGGACTCCTGTCCACAGTTCCATTGGTTCCACTCAGTGAAAAGAAAGCCACAGGGAGAGGAACAGCTTGGAATAGAAACAACGTACATTAAAAAAGAACTGAGATTTAATCAAAATTTGAATTGTCAGAAACACTACTCACGCAGTTTACAAAATAAAATAAAATAAAATAAAATAATTCAATTCAGAATAAATGACAGGGATGTTTGACGAATTTAACCAAAACCTTCCACCTCGAGCAATACATTTTGCTGCGAACAAATTAAGACATGCATTCCAATAAGCCGGTCAACAACCCTGTCAATAAAGTTTAATTGTTCTACTTACATGAATACTCTTTACATACACATGTGAAACAAATGTAGGTAATTCTGTTAGAAACAAAATATTCTTAAAATGTACAATTACAGTTTCACTGTAAATGAAAACATTGTTATTTTGAAATAATGAAAATGGACTATTCAGTTTCAATCCAGCATAAATGACAATGAGAAACTGGCTTTCCGACGAATGTGTCACGTGCATACCTAGAGGTTGTTCACAGATGTATCCAATGTTAGTGGCACATGGTAGATCATTCCATCGCCATCCATACCCATCCCAGTTTGAATTCGATCTGGCTTTCAAGAAAGACCCACATCTGCCGTCTCCACTCGGTTCGTACGGACCCCACAGATCATCTGTATTGGAGACATTTTCCCCGTCTAACCAGAGCCAGCGTAACTTGTTGCCCGATAAACCAACAAACAGGTCTTCGTCCTCGAGCTTGATTTCTCTACGCAGCTTGGCTAGGGCTTGCAAGGAGTCCCCATCACCGACGACAGCAAGGTCGGCATCCAATCGGTGACAGGTGGCTCGCGCGTTGCTCCAGTGCACAGCTGATGGCAAAGACCACAAATAACACGATTTGCCGGCTTTGTACCAACTGGGCTCACATCCGGAAATTGCTCGATGATCTGCAAAACAATAAAGAAAGACCCTCTATCACTATCGATGGACTGACTTCGTATAACAAGACGAAGACGACATAACGCGCCCTTTTTTATCAACTTATTCGGTAGTTGGCTGTCTACGAAGTGAGCTTAACTTAACTGCTGAAACACGAAACTGACGCGAAGAGAAAACGCTTATAGTCCGTATTGATTTTGGTAAGTTAGTTTTGAAGTGTTTGGTTTTAATTCTTGGCAAATAAAAGTATTGTCTCGTCTTGTTTTTGGTAATCCACCGCTATCTTAACCACTCTTAAAGGGACACTGTCGCGATATATTTACTTAAAGCTGTTATAAACTCACGAAATGGTCGCTAAATTTATGTAATAAGAACTTAAATAGCTCTAACTAAATGATTAAAAAGCAATTTCTTGAAGAAAGTCTACACTGCAGCATTAATTTTGCAAAATTTCAACGTCTTACGAGCCAAACTTAAACCTTTGAAAAACTGACATCTTGACGTTCTTTTAAAAAATCCAAATCACAATCCGTTTCCATCCTCGCCATCGTTAGCTATCCTCACTTCCTAATGGGTTCTATTCATTTGTCTAGTACTGCTCTACAAAATAAATCCATTATTGTTCAGCTTCTAAAGACCGATATGTTTTTGAGATTTCCAAAATCATGCTAAAAATGGTAACACTGCCCCTTTTAACTATCCATCGACCCTTCTTTAAGGCGAACTATTATTTCGATACTCGTAAAAGTTATAAGATAATCTAGCAAAAAATAACAAAAATCGTTTCAGAGCCAGGTTAAAATACACAGAAACGTGTTTTCGTACCTAAAGCAGTGACATTGTGAGCATAAAAATAGAAGTTTTGTTTTCCCTTGCAACAAGATACATTTCCGTGATCATCGAGGCTAATCATTGGCCCATAATTACTCCTGTCAATCAGATAAACTCTCCTGGAATTGCGACCCGCTGTCTCGGTATTTAGGACAACAACATCTAATGGATACTTGTTATAGTTAGACGGATCCAACTTTGACGAGACAAAACTATGGTCGCTGGAAGCTTCAGAGTAGATAAAGAATATTGTCTCCTTCGGATTTCCTCGTGGATGCTCGAGAGTGAAACGGAATTCTTCGGAGTAGAGACTCTGTTTGGAGGGTTGAGTGGATATACGGAAGTCTTTGCCTTTGTAAGAGGACACGTAGAATGTCGTCTCTTCTGCGAATGAAAAATCCAAGTATGAATAAATACACCGATGAACTTTATACAATCTGATTTCTTGGTATATCTAGATTAATAGCAAGCGTTAGTGTTTTCATTTACCAGCTGACATAGACAACCATAACGACATAGAACAACACTGACAATGTTGCAAGTCAACACATAATGAAATTTCACAACTTTGTCTTTGACAACTTGGCTTGGGACGTCAGATTTGAACTGAGAAATCGATACTACGAAATAAATGTATGTACACCATTAGTACCTTTTTGTTGACAAGTTCCTCTTTCAAAGGAAACGTCGTCCAATGCTGCATCTCCCTGATAACTTCTACCTCTAATTCCGTCGACAATGATCTAGAAAAGGAACGAAAAAGAAAAGCAACCTCTTTCACAAGACATATCCTCACTAGGCGAACCGAGGACGCTATACTTTGTGAATTATAATAACAGCGAATGTTGAATGGTTGTTGACGTGGAACTTAGGGCATGACATGTTGCCTGATTTTTCTTATTTTGCTATGTTCAAATGCTCTAAGCAAACATTTTAAAGCTCACTTGATAGCTTGAAGTCTCGTTGATGCTTATTTGCCCTTGTATCCAGTTGTTTCCTTGATCTTGTGACCTCAACCAAACTGGTGTTAACCCGTTTGTAGCCTGGCTTTTTATATATATCACAACACAGCCCATGGTGGCGCCATACATGTGATAATAGAACGTCATGCACTGTGGTCCCCGTATCCATGGACTCGCAAGTCTCGCAGTCTCTCCCGGCAGTCGTGGACTAGAGGTTTCAATATAAACGTACCCACCGGTTCCTTAATTTGACAAAAAATGTATATTTAGGTGACATAATGGCAATTTTCGTGAGGCAAAGATCATATGTCCTAAGTTTCTGTCCAGATGCTCTCCTTTTTCTTTACAAGACCGAAAACAATAAAGGTTGATGTGGTATAAGGAATAATAGAGCTGTTATTTTGAAAGAAACAAAGTAATCCGGAACTAGACAAAACATCAAAAATCCTAGTTTGTGCTCTTTGTTTTACAGCTGTATAAGAAAATTAAATTGATCTAGGTTTGATATTTGCAGTTACAAGAGAGCACAGTTACTTAAAAATAGCAAATGTTACTCGTGTTAAGTGGCTAGGCCACGCGGAAAAAAGTAACAAAACATTGATAAAATAACTGGGGACGAAGTAGGCCATACGCATTTACAAAACACACAGCACTGAAATTGCTTATTATACAAGCTTGTCTCATGCATGACAGTTTAATCTGATGTTACCTGATGTATGATCGGCAGTTGGTCCAGTCTCCCAACTTGGAGTATCATCGCTTAGCTGCGTCCATGTGAAACTGGACAATAAGTCATTCCTCCAGAAGCAAAAGTTGGTGTCAAAGTTGCAATTTCCTTGATTAAAAAGGACACATAAATCTTAAAATTGATCGACACAGAAATTGCAGTTTCCTCATTAAAATACACGTACTCATTTTAAAGAGACTAAAATATATTGCTTTATGTATTAAAGCCAGGTAAAGACTTTGCACGACCCAAGTGGCAGATCAGGCCAGGGCTTATCCCCCGTTTCAGTAGCATGAAGCGACTAGGTATATTTCAACTTACCCCTGGATGGGATGTTAGTCCATTGCAGGGTTATCCCCAGCACCCATTTATACACCTGTGCCTGCCCTAGAACACAACATTACGCCTCGGCAGGAGCTCAAACCAGGACCACTCGTTCCAGAGGCGAGCACGCTAATCATCAACCACCGCACCCCAACAAAATTAAAGTTAGAATTAAGATTGATACCTTGTCGATTGTTCTGAGGTTCACTTTCATCTTCACAAAGTCCATTAGTTAATGTGACGTCATCTACGGCTATACCCCCTGAATAGTTTCTACCAATTGTTGCCTGGAAGGAAACCTGCAATATAATAAAGACAGGAGCAATTTCGTTCAGTGTCCAATTTGGCGTAACGGCCGGTCATAAACTAGATTTTCATCTTGCTCTTTTGCAATTTAGTCTGTTGACTGATTCTCTAGCTCATCGTTGACTATTCACCCAGTAAGTCTCTCTTTCGTAAACGACACTTAGAAGTTCTTTTTTCAATTATCATCGCCTTTTTTTACCCCCAAAAATGCTAGTCACCACCCAGAGCCAATCCCGGATCCTAACTAATGATAGTAACATGTCTATCTCGCCACTACCTGGGTCTAATAATGCATTGTTTTTTTACTTAAAAGCAAAGACAACAACAACAACAACAAAAACGTTAATAGCTGTATTTGTTTTCAAATGAAAGAATAACTGCGAGATGTGCTAATTATTAATTAAGGCGTCTTGGCTATCAGTGATTTGGGATGTTAGTCCATTGCAGGATTATCCCCATAACCATCCTTACTCATGAAAAATTTCAATATTATTACTTTCCTGTGAATCGGGCTAGTTATCAAATTGATAACTTTTTCAATATGCCTGCAACGCAAAATAGATCCAGACTGTGTCATCACAGAGCCCTTACAAATTTCTCCCTACCTACCTGAGACTCGCCAGTGTATCCAACATCGACACTACCCCTCAGCCAGACGTCACCATGTTCACCTGACCCTCGCCAAATCAAGTAATTGTTTTGTTCTTCTCGAGGCCAAAGAAACACATCAAGGTTTCCAATCCCGCCTCCATACACGTAGTAATAGAAACCGAGACATTTTGGTCCCCGGATGAGCGGACTCAACAGCTGCGCAGACTCATTCACTTGAGAAGATTGTGATTCGTCAACGTAAATATATTCTCCACCTCGTTTGAAGACGAAAGAATAAGACTGATGTTAGGGCAAGGAGTGGAAAACCCTGAAAAATCTGTGTTTTTTTTTCAGATTGAATAACAAACACTCGACTTCAGTTTAACTGTGCATAATTTTTTTTTTCTCTTTCACAAAGAACCCTTTCTTGTTTTAACCCCATGAACAGCTTTCGCTAATGCAAAGAGAAGTTAGGTGTACAACGTGACAATAACCAACTAAGATCCCCTACACTGGAACACGATTTGGTTACCAGTGTGATCCTGACTCGGTCCAATTCCTTGGCTTTGGTTTCCAGGCCTCTCACGGTTCCAGCTGATTTGTTCATTGGACGGTGTTAACAAGTTACGCCATCCACAGTAGCTCTCATCAAAGGTACAGTTCACTAGAATTAAAAAGGTAAGACAACCAACTATGAAACAAGTTAATCTTATGAAAAAAGTGTTCTTCTTTCATGTCAGCACAACTTGACACACCTTTAAGGTGTGAATTGGCCACATTCGTACTCTCGGTATTGGACTGGAACTAGCTTACAATGGAGGCTCATGTACTGGAATATCATTAAAAAGAGATTAATGTCATTTGCATTTGAAAAGATTCCCCGCATTAGCCTCAGTTACAAGCTAGTTCCAGTCCAATATCGAGACTGAGAATATGATCTATAAAGAAGAGAACTTCAAGTAAACTACCTTATGAAACATTCTAACTGCCTGAGCCGGGTTGCCGGTAAACGCTAACCCAGGATTAAAAGTTGACCGAAGTATTAACTTTCCTCGTTTTTAACCGCGTATGTTTGTGTAGTTTGAGATCATTCACACTCAATACTGAAGGAAAAACAATATAAAACAGAAAAACTCACCGAAAAGTGACAGAACTAGGATTAAAACTCTCGCTAATCCTGGGTTGCTTTAAACAACCCGACTCTGGTCTTTACGATCAGGACTGTGTCTAGTAGAGAGCGTAACGCGAGCCTAATGTACAGGTGTGAAAATAACCTCCGGTACGGAAAACAATACCTTCAAATGTTTCAGGTGGCGTAGGTTTGCCGACAGAGACACAAGTCAAGTTCGTGCTGAAATCGAGGTCATCCACGGCGATGTTAGAAGAAAATGTCACGCCAGCCACACCCTCGATTACAACCTGCAGTAAGTAAATAGAGAAATTAATTTTGAAAAGCGGTGAAAAGCTTACGTACTGAACTGATCTAGAGCTTAAAAAGTTATAACATTTTTGAGCCATCAGTATTTCTCATTCTTCTTTGGTGGACAATGAATTCCAAATTCAAAATCACTGCTTCATGTTTCGGCTCCCAATAGATCTCAACAGCGGCATATATGCCAGTGGTTACTCCATGTTTTCGTTGACAGAGTCACGTTNTGTCATTTGCATTTGAAAAGATTCCCCGCATTAGCCTCAGGTGCAAGCTAGTTCCAGTCCAATACCGAGATTATGAATATGTTCCATAAAGAAGAGAACCTCAAGTAAACTACCTTATGAAACATTGTAACTGCCTGAGCCGGGTTGCCGGGAAACGCTAACTCAGGATTAAAAGTTAACCGAAGTATTAGTTTTCCTCGTTTTTAACCGCGTATGTTTTGTGTAGTTTGAGATTATTCACACTCAAAACTCAAGGACAAACAATATAAAACAGAAAAACTCACCCAAAAGTTACAAAACTAGGATTAAACTTCTCGCTAATCCTGGGTTGCTTTGAACAACCCGATCCTGGTCTTTACGATCAGGATTGCGTCTAGTAGAGAACGTAACGCGAGCCTAATGTACAGGTGTGAGAATAACCTCCAGTACGGAAAACAATACCTTCAAATGTTTCAGGCGGCGTAGGTTTGCCGACAGAGACACAAGTCAAGTTCGTGCTGAAATTGAAGTCATCCACGGCGATGTTAGAAGAAAATGTCACACCAGCCACACCCTCGATAACAACCTGCAGTAAGTAAATAGCGAAATTTTAAAACGGGTAAACAGCTTAATGAACTGATCTAGAACTTAAAAAGTTGAAAATTTTTTAACCATCAGTATTTCTGGCTTTTCTTTGGTGGACAATAAATTTCCAATTCAAAATCACTGTTTCATGTTTCGGCTCCTAAGAGATCTCAACAGCGGAAAAAAATGTCCCTGGTTACTCCATTTTTTCGTTGACAGAGTCACGTTTTTGTCAATGTTAAATGTAAAGATACCAGAAAAATCGTGGACTTCTAATTATTTTCATTCCTTTCAAGAATTTCGCCGCAGTGTGGGTGGATGTTGTGCGTGTTTGTTTGTTTGTTTGTTTTTTTCTTTTCTTTTAACAGAGATATTTAAGGATTAAATTAGGGATAAACTTAGGCAAGCATATATTAAGACCCTAAACTTGGTTTATGATATAAAAAATAGATTGTTGTTTTTGGTTACAGCATGGACATTTACTATATTAAACGGGCAAGATGAACCAAATAATGCGCTGTTGTTAGCTATCCGACTAGGCCAGATGGCACTATCGGGATCACTCGCTGTGTAAGAAAGAAAATAGTGTTCTTTTTCCATAATTGCATTTTAAAAGCCTCTAACCAAGCTCGTTCGGTCAGTAACCCATATTTAGCGCTCACTGTAAATTAGCTACTGTAAGTGCACATCATTTTCTTCTACAACTTATCATGAATAAATATAAAACGGTTCTACCTGGTAGGTGCCATTGTAGTTTATAGCCACACAGCCCTCGGTCCAGTTGCTTGATAACCGGTTTCCATGGCGACTCCATATCCTTTCTTCACTGCCACTGATTCTAACATACACAGACAGGGACTCAATAGTGCTGCCGTACATGGAGTAGTAAAACGTCATGCGTCTGGGGCCTCTCATCCAAGGGCTGTTGAGCCTGGCCTTCTCGTTGTATTTACGAGGATGTGACGTCTCAATGTAGATATATGAGCCATTACCTTGGAGAAGGGTGATATTAATGCATTAATTTATGAGATTAAGATCAGGTGGGAGCTAAACGGAAATGGACACCAGGTAGATTTTGCCAATACAGCTGCAAGCAAGAATAATAATACTGATCTGTAAATAAAGAAAACGCCGACTTCAATTACATATGCTTATCTTTTGCATCATCTACTTTAGTTCACCAACAAATAAGGTGGGAAAGAAAAGATATTAAAGTACATTAAACGTCAAGTTCAGACTAAGCTCTCAACCTGAATGATCGCTGGCTGGTCCTGTGTTGCTGCTTGGCGTGCTCCCTCGCCTAAGCTTCCAATCAAAGTGATCGGTATCTTTGTCGTTTGACCAACTGCAGAGTGTGTTCTCATCAAAAGAACAGTTTCCTAACAAAAGAGATCGTGAAGCTACAGATTAAAAGATCCTTTGAATTTCCCTTGTGATTGTCCACATATTGTTGGAACTTGTTTTCATACGTGCATAGATCGGCTTGAATATGACGCCGCATAATTGCAAAGTCAGTACACTGATCCGTTTTCTTTCTGCCGCCTCTCAGTCCCCTCAGTATCCGCGATTTGTGATTTCGTGCTGTGTTATAATATTAATTTTATTTCTTTGCAAGTCGTACCAGCAGCCGGAGTTGCTAATTCATAAACAAACTTTCTCACGACTGTTGTTCTGAAAATCCATATTAATAAATTCATTGATAACTGCAATTTCTTAACGTTTCAAATTTGTTAAAATATTAAGATGCGCAAGACAATCATCAGTTTGTTTCTTTGCAAAGATTCAACAAGGATATTAAAAATCCGTTTGCAGAAACATAACGGAAACGAACAACAGCGGAAACGTCCTGACTTAGATATGACGGAAACACGACTTGACATTTCCGTTCCGGAAACATGACGGAAACTTGATAGAATCGCCAAGACTTGGTGTTTCAGGTTTCCGCAAAACGTAAATGTAACGGAAACATCAAGTTCTATGTTTCCGTCGCGTTTACGAAATGCGGAAACGTTGGATTTCGTCCTGTGGAGTTTCTTGCAGTCTTTTTGACTCTCGCCTTAACAAGGACAAAATGGTTTAAGTAACCACGACGGCAACGCCGAGGACAACGTCGATTAAAAAATGACTTTTTATTTTACCTACTGATCTCGCGGTACAGTAAAGTCATTAAAGCTGATTATGGCAGGGGTCACACTAGAGCGAATTTTTGTTTTTTTTGGTCGGTCTGAAAGACCCAAAAATATCGACGCTGACCAATTTTTTGGGGGGTTCGTTTTCCGGTAGCACATGAAGCCACACGACAAGGCTAAATTCTTGTGTAAACACTGATAAAACGCCTTTGTAAACAATGATGCTTTCCCTTTAAGGCATGCTGTCCATCAATTTTCTCAAATAAACACGCAGTTGACATGTTTAATGGATTTTTGTTTTCTTTGGACGATTTTGGAAAAAATCTGCCTGCCCCACCCATAAACTACGGCGTCTTCGATCTTTTTGGTCCACTGACAAATTTTTCCAAATTTTGCTCGTAGGTGTCGCGTTAAGAAAAGCTCCAATTTTGACCCAATTTTTGGTAACCGAAACAAACTGAATTCGCTCTAGCGCGACCCATGCCTATCACTGTCAAAACTATCACGAAACTGAATCTGGGACACAACGATAAAATTGAAATAAAATTTAAACAATTAGCCGTCATGCTTCACGTTCTCCAGACAATGCAAAATTTGGTCATTTCACGTTGTTGTTTTACACTGGAACGCAAAGAAATGTACTAAGAATTATACTGCACGTACACAGCCATTGTTCTACACATTAAACCATTTTTTAGCGACGTTCCCGTTTCTGTTGCCGTCGTGTTTTTTTTTTTTTNTAAACGCAAATGGACACCAGGTGGTTTTTTTCAATACAGCTGAAAGCAAGAATAATAATACTGATCCATAAATAAAGAAAACGCAGACTTCAATTACATAAGCTAATTTTTTGCAACATCTACTTTAGTTCACCAACAAATAAGGTGGGAAAGAAAAGATATTAAAGTATATTAAACGTCAAGTTTGGACTCAGTTCTCAACCTGAATGATCGCTGGCCGGTCCTGTGTTGCTGCTTGGCGCGCTCCCTCGCCTAAGCTTCCAATCAAAGTGGTCGGTATCTTTGTCGTTTGACCAACTGCAGAGTGTGTTCTCATCAAAAGGACAATTTCCTAACAAGAGAGATAGTGAAGCTACAAATTAAAAGATCCTTTGAATTTCCCTTGTGATTGTCCACATATTGTTGGAACTTGTTTTCATACGTGCATAGATCGGCTTGAATATGACGCGGCATAATTGCAAAGTCAGTACACTGACCGTTTTCTTTCTACCGCCTCTCAGTCCCCTCAGTATCCGCGATTTGTGATTTCATGTTGTGTCATAATATTAATTTTATTTCTTTGCGAGTCGTACCAGCAGCCGGAGTTGCTAATTCATATACAAACTTTCTCACTACTGTTGTTCTGAAAATCCATATTAATAATTTCATTGATAACTGCAGTTTCTTAACGTTTCAAATTCGTCAAAATATTAAGATGCACAAAACAATCATCGGTTTGTTTTCTTTGCAAAGATTCAACAAGGATATAAAAAATCCGTTTGCAGAAACATAACGGAAACGAACAACAGCGGAAACGTCCTGACTTGAATATGACGGAAACACGACTTGACATCTCCGTTCCGGTAACATGACGGAAACTTGATAGAATCGCCAAGACTTGGTATTTCAGGTTTCCGCAAAACGTAAATGTAACGGAAACATCAAGTTCCATGTTTCCGTCGCGTTTAAGGAATGCCGAAACGTAGAATTTCGTCCTGTGGAGTTTCTTGCAGTCTCGTTGACTCTCGCCTTGACAAGGACAAAATGGTTTAAGTAACCGCGTCGGCGACACCGAGGACAACGTCGATTAAAAAATGACTTTTTATTTTACCTACTGATCTCGCGGCACAGTAAAGTCATTAAATTTGATTATGGCACGGGTCACACCAGAGCGAATTTTGTTTTTTTGGTCGGTCCGAAAGACCCAAAAATATCGGCGCTGACCAATTTTTTTTGGGTTCGTTTTCCGTTCGCACATGAAGCCACACGACAAGGCTAAATTCTTGTGTAAACACTGATAAAACGCTTTTGTAAACAATGATGCTTTCCCTTGAAGGCATACTGTCCATCAATTTCCTTAAAGAAACACGCAGTTGACACGTTTAATAAATTTTTGTTTTCTTTGGGCGATTTTGGAAAAAAACCTGCCTGCCCCACCCATACACTACGGCGTCTTTGATCTTTTTGGTCCACTCACAAATTTTTCCAAAGTTTGCTCGTAGGGGTCGCATTAGGAAATGCTCCAATTTTGACCCAATTTTTGGTAACCGAGACAAACTGAATTCGCTCTAGCGCGACCCATGCCTATCACTGTCAAAACTATCACGAAACTGAATCTGGGACACAACGATAAAATTGAAATAAAATTTAAACAATTAGCCGTCATGCTTCACGTTCTCCAGACAATGCAAAATTTGGTCATTTCACGTTGTTGTTTTACACTGGAACGCAAAGAAAT